CCCGCCCCCCAACATGAGGCAGGACACCTCCCTTCAACCTGCCCCCCAACATCAGGCAGGACACCTCCCTTCTCGTTTTTAAATCTCTGCTTAAAACTCATCTGTTCTCGCAGGCATTTCACACAGTGTGAGTTGATTTAGTGCTTTTTGTTCTTTGCTCCTATGTTTTAAATGCTTTTTATTAATTCTTCAGTATTATTATTAGTGTATGGTATGCATTTTTTTCATTAATTTTACTCCCATTGATGTTGTTGTTAAGCACTTTGATAACAGGTTCTGTTTTAAATGTGCTCTATAAAAACAGATGACTTGACTTGACATGCAGGATAGTGGCCCTGGAGGACCAGGACTGGACACTCAGATCTAAAACATGCAGGACAGTGGCCCTCTAGAATCCAGATTGAACAAGGCTGAGAGTTTAGAACAGTGTACCCGGTACCTGTTTCCTGGGTCCTCTTCTGGGTTCTGGTTGGACTCGTGAGTGAGCGCAGATGTTGGAAGAAGATCTGGTTGTTTGGAGGAACTGTAAACTGTTGACACGGGGAATCAAGAGAAAGTTAACCGTTAAAATCAGCGTAAAGTTTTACTGAAACAAATCTCGTGTTGAACTCACAGTTTCCATCCAGGTTGTCCAGGCTCTGGGCCTTCTTCTCGTCCTTCAACTCCCACAGTGGGGACAGGACCTCCTGGGAGTAGGACTTAGCTTGATTTGCGTGGAGGGAGCCCCTCTTCCTCCTGGAGGACGCTCCTCGTAGAGCTGAACATCACAAACAGCTGATCATGAGAGAGTTTTGACAGAGTACAGAAAACAAGAGCAAGACTCACGGTGAAACTTCTTGAAAACCGTCGTCCCCATGAACTTCAGAAATCTGTCTGCGTAAAAACTGGGCCTGTGGACCGACACCGTGTCCTGCAGTGGAGAAGACGAGTCACATCCAAACTCTTCAAACACAACAAGGTAAAAATGTGGAAATCAAACGCACCCCGTCGTGAACAAGAGCCTTCCAGGAGTGTTCCACCTTCTTCATGAACCTGAAGATAATTAAAATAATTTATCGTCATAAAACTCAGAGGCACCAGAGACTGAAAACATCAGACGTCCACATTTATGGACAAATGAAAAGTTTGATTTTGACACTATTCTACAAACGTGTTTTACATGTTACTGTCTTCATGTGTCCTCACATGTCCCAACTGTCTCCACATGTCCCAACTGTCCCGTCATGTCCCAACTGTCTCCACATGTCCCAACTGTCTCCACATGTTCCAACTGTCTCCACATGTCCCAACTGTCCCGTCATGTCCCAACTGTCTCCACATGTCCCAACTGTCCCCTCATGTCCCAACTGTCTCCACATGTCCCAACTGTCTCCACATGTCCCA